TTAATGAAAAAAAATTGTTTGTGGGAGACAACTTAAAGAAAAGTCGGTTTTTATTACGTGAGATAAATAAAGATGGCTGTTCATGGGACAAAAGACAACTGTAGAGCCCCCCCCCCCCCCATCCATTAACCTTTAAACGTGTGCGACAAACTAACTCGTCCCCTACACAACATAAAAAAATTCATCCCCGGCGGGATTCGAACCCGCGACCTCTGGATTAGAAGTCCAGCGCGCTATCCCCTGCGCTACGGGGACAAGTTAGCAGTCTGTAAAGTGTTATCTTATGTTTTAAGTTCCGTAATTTAACAGTGCTAATGCGCTCCACCCCACTATTAGATCGACAAGAACGCCATCAACAAGATTGCAGACGGCACGGATCCTGACTTCGACTACGACCGCGCCATCATGAAGGTGTGCTGTGACAAGAAGACACCTGCACAGTGCTGTGAGACCAAAAAGTCGAAGGTCTTCAAGACTGCAGCCAACTACACGCATGCGCAGAAGACTGGCTTCTGTCAGGAGGTACGATCAGAAGGAGGTTATTCATCATCATCATCTTTTCCTGTTTGTGCCCAAGACACATGGGGGCAGATGAAGTAGAGTTCATCTGCTTCAGAGACCTCAGCATATGAAGAGATAGTGTGGTCAGCACTATGTCAAGCTGCCTTTATTTCCCTAACATGAGTTACGTACCCTTCAGAACTGGGTGGACAAGTACATATTATTGTCTTGAACCCAAATTCGAAAGAGGTTGATGGTTGAGATTAGGTTAATGGTTGAAACTAATGTTTGACCTTGGTGGTTCAATTGTTTCGGTTAAATTTTGTTCGTAAGCTAAATGATTAGCGCACGCGTTAACGTTAGAGATTGTTGTATGGACGTCACGACTTCATATGACGGCGTGGTAGAGCATACGACTGCTAAAAGGAAAATCTTGAGTTCAAACCCGGGTTCAATTCCTTGAGTAACAGAAGAAGATAAACTTTAATTGACTTGCCGCTTGGACCGTTAGGTTTGAAAAGGGAAATTTTACTCGATTTTACGGCATAACAATGAGCGCTAGACTGCTGACCCGAAAGTCTTGAGTTCGAATCCGGGTTCAAGAAAGTAGAACGTCTCGGAACCCACCCAGTTCAGATGGGAACCCAATTTACTTTAGGGAAAAAAATCGGCCAGGCATACGGCTTACCACACTATCCCTTCGTATGCCGAGGTCACAGAAACTTGTGAACTCTACTTCTCTTGCCCCATGAACCGTTGCGTACATATATTGTAAACAGCGCACGTGACCAAAGTTTACACTTCCGTCCGCAGCTTAGTGCATGCGTGGGCCGGAACCAGACATGGCACGAGGACTGCACGAGCACGCCCTGGAGTAACAAGACATGGAGCATCCAGAGGTTCGTCACACAGGTCGACTGTGACACTTTCCAGGGCACGAGGTCAGAGGTCGACTGTTGTAAGTCGAGGATAGGTGAGTCTAGGGGTCAAGGTTATCCGATGTAGGGTGGGTAAGCCTCGGGGTCAAGGCCGTCTGAGGTAGGATAAAGATAGGTAAGCCTCGGGGTAAAAGGTCGTCTGATGTTGGATGGACACGACTCGGGGTCAAGGTAATCTGAGGTAGGGCGGGTAAGCTTTGGGGTCAAGGTCGTCGGAGGTAGGTTAAAAATATGTAAGCCTCGGGTTCAAGGTCGTCTGATGTAGAGTGGGTAAGCCAGGTGGTCAATGTCATCTAAGGAAAGTTATTTTATAGGTTAACATCGGGGTCAAGGTCGTCTGATTTTGTATGGATAAGTATCCGGCTCAAGGCCATCTGAAGTAGGTTAAAGATAGGTAAGCCTCGGGGTCAAGGTTATCTGAGTTAGGTTAAGGGTAGGTTACCATCCTCGTCAAGGCCCATATTCATTTATTTCCATCTACTTATACATACCCACAAACTCATAACATCCCAGGCCTATCCACTCATCCATATTGACTGTCCATATCCACGTCTCTATATCCACCTATCCACACATCCATATCCACCCACCCATTTATTCACCAACCCATTCACTCTTCTATATTTACTGTCCATATTTACGTATCTACATCTACATATCAAGTCATCCATACCCACCCGCCTATATGTTCCTAGACCTATCCACTCCATCATATTGATTGTACATATCCACATCTATATCCACCTATCCACTCCACCATATCCACCAGACCTCAACCAGACCCTGGACTGCTCCGGCGTCAGCAGTTGTTTCAGCTCCAGCTCCCACAACTTCTCCCTCTCCAGCTGCGCCGTGAGCAACTTCAGCGTCATGGACGAGCTTGTGGGTGAGGACTTCTCGTGCACGCTGTACACGAGGGACGTGGAGAAGATGACGTGCTTCAAGGAATGTGAGTACTGAGAGCAGGGCCCGACTGCTATGTTGTCTTTATGATGCGGGGTTACGCGACTACGCATTTGTTGTTGTTGTTTTTTAATCAGCCACTTTTTATTTTTTTATTTTTAAGATCAGCCACGCAGTAGTTTTTTTAATCAACCACGCAGTATTTTTTTTTAAAGATCAGCCACGCAGCAATTTTTAAAAGCAGCCACGCAGTAGTTTTTTTTTTTTTTTTTTAAATCAGCCACGCAGTAGATTTTTTTTTTTTTTTAAATCAGCCACGCAGTAGATTTTTTTAATATCAGCCACGCAGTAATTTTTTAAAAGCAGCCACGCAGTAGTTTTTTTTTAAAATCAGCCACGCAGTAGTTTTTTTTTAAATGAGTCACGCAGTAGTTTCTTTTAAGATCAGCAACGCAGTCATTATTTTTATTCAACCACGCATTAGATTTTATAAGATCAGCCACGCAGTAGATTTTTTAAAATCAGCCACGCAGTAGTTGTTTTTTTTTTAAATCAGCCACGCAGTAGTTTTTTAGCGCAATTTCCATTCTGGAGAATTGCGTTTATTAACTCGTCATTTCTGGGAATGGATGGATGGATGAATGAATGAATGGATGAATGTGTGCTTTAAGTCGTATCTCCTCCTCAACGAAGCAATATCGATGACTAGTTCCAAAAGCAATTATGTTAAGCAAGTTACGAGAATGAGCATAGGCCATAACAATTCCGGGTTTCTTTCATGTATTTCCCGTAAAAGCCAAAAAACCTCGAAAAAATGCAGTTTTTGGCCCCTATCTCGGCAACCAGACCACTTAGCGACTTGAAACATGTACCAATCGATTCCTGCCATAATTTAGAACAATATTGCCGAAGAAAGTTTTCAAAAATATCCTCTCGTTCGGTCACAAATTTTAAAATTACATAAACACCTACAAACCGATCGCTCTTCTAGCTTGAACGCACCCCATCATTATACGTCAGAGCTATTTTTAGATAACATAAGGAAATTGCGCATAAATGTCACTAGACTTTTTTAATTAACTTGCGCGCCTACTGAACGTGATGGCGCAGCCATGGAACGCGATGACGCATCTATTGAACGTGATGACGCGTGTGGTGTGGTTGTATATACATGCCGGAAGTAGAGATCTATCATCTTAATGATTATCATGTTGATAATCAAGTTCAACTAACCAATGGTTTTAATAACCCTGCTCTTGATTTCAAGGTGCTTAGTTTAGTTAGTAGTTAGGTTTATTTAATAAAAAACGTTTTAATAACTAACCAATGGTTTTACTAACCCTGCTCTTGATTTACGCTACGACAGAGCTATTTTTAGATAACATAAGGAAATTGCGCTAAAATTGTCACTAGACTTTTTAATTAACTTGTTTTTTAAACGAGACGCAGTAGTTTCTTTTAAGATCAGCAACGCAGTCATTATTTTTATTCAACCACGCAGTAGATTTTATAAGATCAGCCACGCAGTAGATTTTTTAAGATGAGCCACGCAGTAATTTTTTAAAAATCAGTTACGCAGTAGATTTTTTTAAGATCAGCCACGCAGTAGACTTTTTAAGATCAGCCACGCAGTAGTTTTTGAACAAGCAGTCATGTTGTATTATAAGACTTTGAGAAAGCTGCTCACACAAAATACACGTTGCAGGCCACCTTTCCCCACTAGAGAGAGCACTGCCCGCCAGCCTCAGTGTCACATGAGGGAGGTGGAAAGGCTCAGCGAGGCATGGGCGGAGTTAGTTTCAGCGATATAAGGGCAGAGTTTCTTTCAGGCATTTCCTGTGTGAAGTGGGTGGAGAAGTCAAAGAACCCACACTTAGCCCCAACCCCTCAGACAAAATAGAAATTTTTAAATGGAGAATATTCTGAATATATACTTGTTTATGATAATAGTCCCCCCTCCCCTCTCCGGATCTTTATATGCCACCCCCCCCCCCCCCCCCACCTCGAGAAAAAGGTCTGAAACAACCACTGTTACTTTGAAAGTTTCAATTCGAACAAACAGGTAAAATCAATATAATCGATGAGATCATTCACCAACTGACTGGATCGTTTAATCCCCCCTCCCCCTAATTCATCCTTCCATAAGTTCAATGTAAAAGAATTTAAAAAAAAACCGCAGTATTATCCTGACATGAATTCCATGGCAAATTTAACTGGCTTTTAATAATTACAAATTTGAGTCTGTGCTCATGTCGTGCTGGAGGTTAAGTAATTATATATTCATGAAATGAACATTAAAGGATGTCATTAGAACCGCAGTTTGCTAGGGTTATCGTAATGTTGGGTATTTATCTATATGAAATTAACATTAAAAAATAGCATTAGCACCGTGGTTGGGTAATAGAAATAGAGCATAATACAACAGTTGATCATTGTTTTATACATATTTTTAATTTTCTAAATTTCACAAAAATTTTGTTTTCATTATATGAATATAAATGATATAATTAAACAATTTTTGACACAGTTAACTATAATTAAATACTTTAATGCAAATCTGTTGTTTGTAATTTATGGTTAATTTTATTTTAACCCTTAGGTGAGTTTTTATTCAAGGGAATGTACTCTACGTTAAACGACAAAGCCATTGGAGCAATCATGCTGGTTATCTCCCTTACAATTCTCTGCCTGTGTCTGGTCGACATTGTCAAACTGCTGCACTCCCTTCTCCAAGGCCCCATCGCTCTCATCATCAAAAAATTCATCAACGCGGACTTTCCCGGACCGCTGGGCTACCTCACCGGATACCTCGCCATCATCATCGGCGCCGGGTTGACCATCATCGTCCAGAGCTCCTCCATCTTCACCTCCACCCTCACCCCGCTCGTCGGCATCGGGGTCATCGAACTCGACTGGATGTACCCTGTGACCCTGGGGTCAAACATCGGCACCACGACCCCGCGAATCTCTCAGCCTTAGCCAACACGGACGGCCTGAGAAACGCGTTACAAGCAGCCTTCTGCCACCTCTTCTTCAACATCACCGGCATCCTCCTGTTCTACCCCATCCCCTACCTCCGCTTCCCCATCCCGCTTGCCAAATTTCTAGGCAACTGCACGGCCGAGTACCGCTGGTTCGCCATCGTCTACATCCTCCTCATGTTCTTCCTCTTCTTCTACTTCTAGACCACGCCATTCCACGTAAATATATGGTTATAAAATGGTAATAATCGTGTTATTTATCTTATTTATATTTTTTTACAAAGGTTTAACTGTTAAATTTATATAAGTTTTCATAAACTTTCATGGTTAAGTTATAGGTCTACTATCCTGATTGGGGAATACAGTGATCACATTTATTTTGTCTCGTCTTTTTAGAATGGTTTTTATTTGTTTGTTATTATATATATATATATATATATATATATATATATATATATATATATATATATATATATATATATATATATAATAAATATATAAATAAATATATAATAAATGACCGAGTGGGACAAATGACCGAGTGGAATAAATGACCGAGTGGGACAAATGACCGAGTGGGACAAATGACCGAGTGGGACAAATGACCGAGTGGGACAAATGTTCGGATGGGACAAATGACTGAATGGACGGGCAAATTTCCACCTGGATATACGTCTGGAACACTGACCAAGATCGATTGTATTTATCGTGGATAGGTCAATGACCTTCACATGTCTGACGAAGAAAACAGTGGAAAAAAATAATTGCAACAAGAACGTTGACAGATATAAAAACAAGAAAGAGTCTATATCACTCGACCAACCACCCCCTCACCCCCACCCTTTATATCTGTCGAGGTCAACAACTTTGTTACCTGGGATGTGTTTGACCTAATTAACAGGGTCAACATTAACATGGACGTCGGGCCCAGCTGGGAGAGGAAATCCTGTTCTTTGATACGTATTCGAAGCGTTGTACGACACCATGACCCCCTCCTCCTCCCCCCCCCCCCCCGCCCCACACGCACATTCACAAGTTCACACACTTTACTTATATTCAACCCCACAAATATATATATAGGGCTATATATATATATATATATATATATATATATATATATATATATATATATATAGGCCCCAATAGGAATATACAGACATAATGAGCAATTTGGCCTATTTGCCAAATCGATGGGAGATAATCAAATCTATACACGGGTCAGCATAACTGGTCCACTTCACTCCCCTTGTTAAGCTTAGTAGAATACTCGAAGCCAATGACCCCTTATCAAATGGATATCGCTGGTACATTTTGTGTGGTGTGTGTGTGTGTGTGTGTGTTGAGATTGGGGAGAGGCAATCACTGGGTTAGAGGATTTTATTGCCGAGGTTCTAAGGCAGTGACTAGTTTCCCATGGATTTTTTGGTATATATTTCATTAGAGGGCAGGGGTGGAAGGATTCGTGTGCAATAATTTATAGTATATATATATATATATATATATATATATATATATATATATATATATATATATATATATATATATATCAGGCGATGCGCGCCTCAAGTACACGCTAACCAAACCTACCTTGACAGACCTGCGCTAGTATAAATACTGGACACGTACCTTGGGTTAAAAGTGAGATACTTGAATTGACTGATGAATGGGGACTACGAGATGATAAAGTGGTCCATGACCTATAGGTCAATGACCCACTGGTCGATGACTAAAAATCTCCCAAAAATCTCAACTCGTTCGATATCAATACATTAAATTATAGCTTGGTGATGATGTCTAAACTCGTTCGATATCAATACATTAAATTATAGCTTGGTTATGATGTCTCAATTTGTTCGATATCAATACATTAAATTATAGCTTGGTTATGATCTCTCAATTTGTTTGATATCAATACATTAAATTATAGCTGGGTTATGATGTCTCAATTTGTTTGATATTAATACATTAAGTTATAGCTTGGTTATGATGTCTCAAATTGTTTGATATCAATACATTAAATTATAGCTTGGTTATGATGTCTCAATTTGTTTGATATCAATACATTAAATTATAGCTGGGTTATGATGTCTCAAATTGTTTGATATCAATACATTAAATTATAGCTTGGTTATGATGTCTCAATTTGTTTGATATCAATACATTAAATTATAGCTTGGTTATGATGTCTCAATTTGTTTGATATCAATACATTAAATTATAGCTTGGTTATGATGTCTCAATTTGTTTGATATCAATACATTAAATTATAGCTTGGTTATGATGTCTCAATTTGTTTGATATCAATACATTAAGTTATAGATTGGTTATGATGTCTCAATTTGTTTGATATCAATACATTAAATTATAGCTTGGTTATAATGTAGGCTGTAGAAAAGATAATACCACGTTTATACTCTTTAGAAAAAATATATAGAATCCTCTTTAGACTTAGCTATCCATTGGGAATATGAAGTAAAGGTTCATATGTTTCTTGACCTTGTTATTTGCCAAGCCGCCTTAACTTTCCTTAACATTAGTTTGGTACCCATCAGAGCTGGACGGACTCAGGGACATTTTAGCGACTTGGACCCGGTTTCGAACTCAAGGCAATCGGGTTAGAACTCTAGCGCTCTATCTCTTTGGCCACGCCTACACTCTTAACACACTCCACGCCTACACCCTCCAAAATCCGTGAAATATTTACATTTTTTGGTTTCAGTAAAATGTGAATATTATCGAAATGAATTCAGCAGTACTTAAACAACAAGTAACCAATTCTAAAATGAAGTCACCTGATTATCTTAAGTCACCAAATTTAAAATAAAGTCACCTGAATATCTTAAGTCACCAAATTTAAAATAAAGTCACCTGAATATCATAAGTCACCAAATTAAAAATTATATCACCTGAATATCATAAGTAAAAAAAAAAGGTTAAGTTTAGGTCACCTAAGTTCATAAGACATCAAAAATTATAGGTCAACAAATTTAACAAAAAATTACCAGTCAACGAATACAAGTGACAAAACTGGCCTATATTCTCTAATAGAACGAAATGTGCTTCACAAAAAATGTTTACGTCTCATTTCAACCACCCTTACCCTCCACACTAAACTCTCCCACACTAAATTCTCCCACACTAAATTCTCCCACACTAAATTCTCCCACACTTAATTCTCCGACACTAAATTCTCCCGCACTATATTCTCCCACACTAAATTCTCCCACACTAAATTCTCCCACACTAAATTCTCCCACACTAAATTCTCCGACACTAAATTCTCCCACACTAAATTCTCCCACACTAAATTCTCCCACACTTAATTCTCCGACACTAAATTCTCCCGCACTATATTCTCCCACACTAAATTCTCCCACACTAAATTCTCCCACACTAATATCTCCCACACTAAACTCTCCAACACCAAAAATCTCCCAAATTTAAACTTAATATAAAAATAGTCTCCACTAAAATCACCCAAACATTCAACTTCCCCATATTAGTTTCCAACACACACTCCCCCCCCCCCCACCCCACCCAAAATGGAACTAAAAACTGACACATAATATTAATATTAGTCCCGAGAGTGCACCAAGGTGTAACACAGTTCACAGCGGTTTGCTCTCGTCTTTTGTTTGAGTCAAAATATCTCGCGCGTTTAACTATTTTGTTAGGGGAGAAAACAAAAATTGTTTTTTATTAAAGGGAAGTAATTATAAAATGAAGCGATTGAGCAAAATGAAAAAAATAATAATACATTTTTAAACAAAAACAAGTAAACAAACTTTAGTATAAATTACAGAAAATAAAAGTACAAAAAAAGTATTTAAACCTTTGGTGATTAATAACAAAATGTTAATTACAACTCCTAGTAATTGTTAGTTGTTAATCCAAATAATTATTAGACACTAGTACCAACCAGCTTTAATATTTATTCCAAGAACATTCTTCCAGCAACTTTCGTTCTTGTCCGCTTAATTTATTTATACTTTCTCGTATTTTAATGCTTTTGCTTGACTTGGTGTTGCGAGAGATTGGGGTTGTCATACACAAACAATCGCAGCTTCACCATTTTCTCCGACACTCCGAACACTATACCACATTATATCAAGTTTAATTATAAAAACAGACCCATCAACATCCTCGTGTCCATACCTGGAAGACGACAAGCCTGCCAATCATGTGGTTCAACACAACATTGGACAAGTCAATGCCACCAGTGAGATCAAGAGTGGGAACAACAACCATCCTCACCGACATCTATATTGCATGAATATAATAAAAAGTAAAGAAGTCAACTAACAAATAAAAATCTAGAGGCGTGCTTGAAACTAAAAACAACTTATGAGCCAGGTTTAAACAAACTTTTAAAAGGCATGCAAGGCGAAACTGTTGTAAATATTTTAAAATAATTATAGTTATATAATTCGATTACTGATTTTATTATTCTTGCAGAGCTAGTTAAAATACCTTAATATTTTTTGTTCGAAACATGTGTATGTTTTTATTTGAATAAATATTATTTCATATTGAAAGCTATTTATTTTAAATTATATATATATATATATATATATATATATATATATATATATATATATATATATATATATATATATATATAATAATAATATATATATATATATATATATATATATATACATATATATATAAATATATATATATATATATATATATATATATATATATATATATACAGATATATATATATACAGGGTTGGGAAGCCCTGGCAAACACCAACTCCCACCACTACGCCACAACCTGGAAAAATTCAGCGCTAAAATTAACACTAAAGATACATCTAGCATTGGCAAAGCCAAGCCATTTTCAGTAACAGGAACTGAATCGCTATCATCAAAAAGGAAGAAAGGTAGAGAAACAAAAACAGCAAAGCCTAATGAGCTTATGACCTACGGATGCTGCTACAAGATGTGCAACAACCTAGAAGAGTATGTGAAATATTACAAACAACACCCGAC